GTTCTTTCTTTCCCTTTTTTCTTTTCTTTAATCTCTTTCTCTCTCTTTCCCTGTCTCTTTCTCTCTCTCTCTTTCCCGCTCTCTCTTCCTCTCTCTCTTTCTATCCCTTCCCTTTCTCCTTCCCTCTCCTTCTAAAGCTAGGAGAGGAGATCCACCTGAAACAAACACACAGACACACAGACTCTTCCAAGAGCCCGGCAGTGTCATTCCTTACGAGGGTTCTTCCTGGCCAGTCTCCAGTCCTGTGTTGCCTTGAAAAGCCATCAGAAAAGGCTTCTGGGTCCAACAAAGGGGCCATGGGCGGGACTTCCTCACCTCCAGCTTATGGGGAAAGGAAAGGGTTGGGAACTTCAAGCGAGGCATGTGCTGCAGCCTCAGACACCCCACTTTTGCCGGCAGCTCTGAACTAGGAAGAAGTTTGGCCACCCCTCCCTCACCGGGCTGAGCATTTTGGCAGAGTGCTGACCACTGCTGTGACAGCAGTGAGAGCTCCATGGGCTGGATGGTACGGCTGATGGAAGGGAAGAAAGATCTGCTCTGGTGAGGTTTCACTGCCTTTTGGGCCTGCTCTGGCTGCCACCTGCTTTACCTCTGCTGCACCTCGGGTCCTGCATCAGCTCACGAGAAAAAGACATGCCATTTCCAGGCCAGCCTGGCCAGCAGATGGGCAAGCAGACGACCCTCGATGGAGGCATTTTCTCTCAGGCCTCTCACATGGAAGGCCCCATGGAAGCCGAAACTAGACCCAAAAGGCAGCTGAGTCTTACCATGCTCCCCCAAGCAGCCCTCTGGCTGAGTGCAGCAAACCTGGTGTGGATCTTCCTTCCCCACCATCAGCATTAGGGCTCACTCACAGCATTCTCTCAGCAGCCAACCTCACTTGCCCAAAGCACACAGGTTGGTGGGCAGGAGAGGGAAAGTGCAGCAGGGAAAAGGGTGATGTGGGTGGCATAGCGTCATGCTCCCTGGTCAGCCCCTCCCACACCTGCTCTAGCAGGCAAGGGCTAGCAGCTGTGGAGAATCCAGGCAGGAGGCAAGATCCAGGCTGGTGGGGACGCAACAACTGGTCAACCCTGGCTCTGCTACCAGGAAGCCAGGCAAGCTGAAGGCTAGGGGCAGGGGGGGAAGCTTGCAAGGCCATGAGTGCCACATGGGATGGAGTCGTGGCGCTGGTGGCTAAGCAAGCTGGACAGGCACAATACAGTGGGGCAGCTAGCTAGGCCCCAGCCAGCATCACTGTCCAGGATGGGACCATGCCAGTGGGGAAACCAACCAGCTGAGTCTGGGAACGGTGTGAGGGACCCACCAAGATCCAGGAATGGTGGGGGTGGGGCTGTGAGCAATAGGAAGATCAAGGCTACTCAGTTGGGTTACAGGCATCACATGGGAAGGCTAGAATGGCAAGTCATGAGAACCCAGCATGCCACATAGGAGGAGAAGAGGAACTGGGTGGGATGAGCATCGGGTGAGCAAGCATCAGGCAGGTGGGGCAAGCGAATGAGCAGTGACTGGACGACTGGGTCGGGGGCATGGCCAGCTAGATGTTACTACAGGTTCGGCAACCCATGCCAAATCCTTCCTACCAGTTCACTTGAACCTGTGTGAACTAGCTGAATACCACCACTGGTCTGGTCTCCTACTGAGAATAGATATAAGCAACTTTTCCCATCAGGTGTTTCACAAATTCCCCCACATGGCCCTGAAGATGATTACCCATGTCCTCCTTCCCATCATTTAAGTTATAATGCAAATAATAGGTTGAAGGATGGAATTGAAAGGTATGGAACTGAATGCTACTGGTATTAGCATCAAAGGAAAAGTCATAAAAAGGCAGTAAATAATGAAAAATGGTAGGGGTGGACAAATTTGATGCTACATCAGGAGAATTTCAGTGATAAGTGGTTACAGTGTTTGACTAGACCTTGTATCCTGGAGGAAAATAAGTTAATTATGAAATAGTGAAAAATTTGTGCAATTATTATGGATTACATGGATTTTTAAACTTAAATTAGAAGAAGATGCTATTGCTCCCATGGAAAGGGAAAGATAGTAAGAGTAAGTGAAAAATGGGACTTCTGGTTTGAGCTTCTTTGGCGATAGACCGAAACCTCGTCTCTGCAAGGCTTCGATCCATGCTCGCCGCTGAAGCGCCCCGTGCCGGCTGGTTTCGGAGCTAAGCCACCCCATAGAGGTGGTGAAGAGGGGTGAGACTGCCTGCAGGGTTGAGGAGAGCCACATCTCTCCTCCCCAGCTGGCCATTAGTCCCTTTCCCAAAGGTGGTTGTAGTGGTGGTCAGAAATGGCCACCCCAAAGAAGAACTCAACCGGAAAAGAATGTGCAGGAGGAAGATAAGAAGAGAAAGTTTGGGTTGACTGGGTCAAACAGCAAAAGCAACAAATAAGGTACCCTGGAATTGAAACTATTATAAAAAACTATAACATTGTTCCCTAAGAAGATTTTTAAGCTGCGAAGGAGATAGAAAAGGGAAAAGAATTGGGGTTTTTTTCTCCTTTTCCTATACTGACAGCTAAGAGACTTAAGCAAGAAATTGGAAAAAATCCACTTTGATATTAATAGGCATTTAATGCTGAAAATAAAAAGTCAAAGGGATAATGAAGATTTCTGGATAATCAAAAGCTTTTGAAAACAGGAAAGGAGAGAAAAGGAATAAAAGGGCAGGATCTGGAAGGGAGGAGACTGCCTGGAATTAAAAAGAACTTACAGCAAAATTTTAACAAGACTTCCAAAAGATACATTTTAACTGAAATATCGCAACGAAAACCCCAGGAAGAGAAAGTGGAAAAAGAAATAAGAAGAAATAACTTGGGACTATTTGGATTACTTGATGATTTTTGGATTTTTGGTTATCATATTTGAATGACTAAATTCAATCAGGTGGTTGTTTAAAACTGTTTAAAATGGCACCACTTTTAGAAGAATTGAAAATGGAACTTAAAAAGTACAAAGAAGATGCACAAGAAGTGAGAGGTTCTTTTGGCTTCATATTTCAGTTTTTAGAAATGGAGATTTGGAATTATGAGAAACAACAAGAAATGCCTGCAGAACAAGAAGATTGAGACAAAGAAGAAGCCATCTTTAATGAACAAGTAATCTTAGGTGGGGAGAAAAAAGGAAAGGGGGGAAAGAGAATGGAAAGTTTAATGTTGGAAAAAACAACTCCCCAAAAAAACCTAGAGTGAAAAATAAGTATAAAATCAGATAGCAACAGAAGAGGGAAATGCAGAAGAGAGAATTAGAAGTAGGGAGACAAGGGGGTAAAAAGAGGACGGAGAAGATGAGAGGGAAGAAAGAAAGGAAAAGAAGATATAAAGGACAGAAACAAAATATAGAGAAACAGGGCCTATTTAGAGATAATGGGTGAAAATTTAATGGAAAGGGGGATTCTGCAAAGGTACATAAGACAGTATTGTTATATCAGAAACAGAAATAATTTTAGGAAATATGAAACAATGTATGATTAAAATGTTTGATAAAATAGCTATCATAATTCAGTGGAATGCTTGTCAATAAACAAATGTAAAAAAATGAATATTTAATGTTTTACAAAACATATGTGAAGAGAAATAAGGGAAAAATTAATTATGGAGATTATATGTGTATTTAAGGAAGTATGATATTTAATTGAAAAGACGTGTTAAAGATATTAAGATTTTAATGATTATTAATGATAGAACTGAATTGGAATGCAATGAGGGTTTATAATTACATATATTTATAATCTTTTTTTTTTAAAGAGTATAGTGTGTATTTTAAGAATGTACCAAGCAGAATTAGATTGGAAGTTATGTATTATGTATTATATTGAAGGTCATAACCTTAAGGTATATATTGAAGTTTAAATAAGAGTTGAATGGATGTAATTAAAAGATATAAAGGTGTCATACTTCAATTAGTAACTACAGGAGAAAATTTGTTTAATGAGAAAAGATATGAAATAGAACACAAAAAGGAGCATGAAATTGAGTTTTGTGTCTGTATAAAGAAGTTCAACCCGGGACCATGCTAGTTTCAAAAAAGACGTTTTACTTGTATTTTGTATGTGTGAAAACCCAAATAAAATTGTATTTTAAAAAAAGAGTAAGTGAAAAGCTAAAGGGAGGTTAGTTTATTATTTGTTCCTGTGAATGTACCTGGGAGAGAAGTCCGAAAACTTACAAAATATGAAAGTGAGCAAAATTGGGGAAGGGCATTGCAATTTAAGAGCTGACCAGATGTGGCTGATGCAGTTGAGGATGAATCAGCATAGCATTCTTTAAGAGTGGGGATGGGTTTTACTCCTTTAAGAGGTGTTTGTATAAAGGCAGCCATTAGAGGGTGTGTACTCTCTCCTTGTGTCTAGTATTCATTACAAAAGTTCTCTGTGCAGAGTTAAGGAGAAGAAAGATTCCTTGTAAGGTATTTTGCTTACCACATATATTTCTGTATATAACTGTTGTATATAAACCACTGTTAAAAGTCACTATGTGCTGTATTTTGCTCCTGGGTTGTCTCATAATGGTAGTCATGCTGCAAATGCTCTGACAGGTTATGGGCCCAGTATAGAGAAAAGGTCAGAGTAACTTCATGTCAATATAGTATGATAGACTTCCAGGGCCGGCGCATTGTGCAACAAGGTCACATAATGTAATAAGATTGGGACTGAGTTAGGGACTTCTGTCCTCACTGTGAGTTGTAGTGGGAGGGTGGGTGCACGAAAGGAGGCTCAGCCACTCTCGTTGGACACATGTTGTACTTTAACAATAAAAGTAATCATAATTGGAGAGCCTAGAGAGAAGAGAAACCCAATGGCAATGTTAATGAAAACATATTTTCCTATCACAGTTCAACAGGAACATTACATTTTATAATTCTAGCAATACAATATTGAAAAAGACTGACAGAACCTTTTCAAAATAACATGAAAGAGCCAGTGAAGTAAAAGCAAATTCATTTCCAATTCTATCTTCATTTCTGCATAGTGGAAATTTGCATATAAATACCTGCACAACGTGGTGTGTGTGTCCAACGTTTCCTCAAACATATAATGAAAGGAGTTCCAAGAAGAGCATAACCTGGGTTGCATCGATAGTACACCTTCTCCCGGGGCAAATACTTTGCCTTTATTTCACTAGTAATCTGGCCATTTGGAATTTCGGAGGGAGAAGAACACCTTATATCTAAAAGGGAAATAAAAAATGGTCCCATTCAAATAAAATGCAGCTAAATGGTTCACATAAAATCATTTAGTTTTCCCAAAGCAAACTTCTCTAAACATGCTTTCACTTTTGAAACAAAAACTGACAGCACATATCACATGGCATAGAAAATATAAGGGTGCCCCTGCAAGGTCTGCTTCCCTTTGAGGCAGGGGTGGGATTTTGCTGGTTTGGACCAGTTCGGGTAAACCCCTAGCTCTGACAATCAGCTGGGAATGAACCAGTTCACTCCAACAATCATTTGGAACTGCCCCTCCACTCCTGTGCTGTAGTGACATATATCTTCTCAGCTGATCAGCGCAGCAGAGCAAATTGCTACTCCTCAGCTGTGTTCCTTCCCAGAAATAACATAGCATGTAAGGATTTTTGCATAGCGAAGCCTGCAATCACCGAACCAGTTGTTATACCAGCAGCATCCCACCATTGCTTTGAGGTGAGGGGAATGTGAAGCTATAGACAATGGAACCTCTTTTTCCTCCTACACTGTCTGTTTCTATCCATCTTGAAGAAATGAAACTGAGTGCTTTCAATCATTACTATCATGATATCTGATCAGCCTTAGATTAATGGTTATGGGTTGTTTGTGTAAATAATTTTCCCTGAAACTTCTCTTGTAGGATGAGTGTTAATTTGGGATTTGGGGGACCCTGTATACCGTCTCTTCTCTCATTTTATTTGTAAAAGTTAAAGAAGAATACAGTGCTGAAACATACTTGGTATCTGAATTAGAGTAATTGTGAAATGTGTTGAAAACTGGATTATCCTGCAAAAAAATCAATCAGATAAATTCTTCTATGAACTACGTGCAGATAAGAAACTGGCTATTGTATCTTTGCATGATGAGCTAATCTGGCCTTTTCTCTTCCAATCAGACTCTCACAAGACTGGATAGCAAAGCTATGGGTGCGACCATGATGGTCTACCTGAGGCTGTGAGGCAGATTGAGAAGGAGATCTCAATGTCCTTTGCTGGTGCTTGAAAACCATCAAGAGCTGGATGAGAGACTGAGCTAGGGCTTCTAAGTCTATTTCTCTTGTTTATTCTTGATGGTTTTCTGCTTCAGTGCTGCTTCTTTATTGTTGCTATACCTGGTTATACCCAGAACACTTCATTTGGTTTTTATACTCTATACAGGTAGTCCTTGATTTATGACCACAATTGAGCTCAAAATTTATGTTGCTAAGTGAGACATTTGTTAAATGAGTTTTGTACTTTTTTACATTTGTTGCCCCAGTTGTTAAGTGGATCACTGCAGTTAAGCACATATGTTCAATGAATCAGGCTTCCCCACTGACTTCGATTGTCAGAAGATTACAAAAAGGGATTACATGAACCCAGGACACTGCAACTGTCATAAATTATGAGTCAGTTGCTGACTTCTGGAAAGATAGCTAACTGAACACACATCTGGGGAGAGATTTCTGAAGGATTTGTCCTTAGGGTATATCTCTTCTGCCTTATAACTGAAGGGACTGGCATCCCATCCATTTTTATGACCCATCCACAAGGGTAGGTCGAAGAACTTCCCCTCAGAACCCTCCAAGCCAGAAAATGGCTTCTGGAGTTGAACTTCAAAGCTATCTGCATGCCAAAACCTAGGAGGAGAGGGGCTGCAGTCTGTTCAGGGTTGAAGAAGTCACCATTCTGAAATTTACCTTTCAAACAGACAGTTCAGTTATACCTTTCTCTTCTTAATCACCTTCAACAACTATTAATCTTTTTAAAGTCAACTTAAGTAGAGGCTCTTTCTAGCTTCAGCCTGCTATACCTTTTTCAAGACTCCCATCACTTTAGGAAGTCCTTTTTTGTCTCAGAGGACAAGGAAGAAGGCTGCTAAGGCAAGTCAGGTGGGGCATAAGGAGGTATGATGAGGAAAATAATTGACAGAGAAAGATAAAGATTGAAAGCTGTGGTTTTAATTTACTATTGAAGTAACTGGTAGTTGTTCTTCTTAGCTGTGGGTGGCTAAAAACTTCTGATTCTGATTAAAAGTGGAAGCCAAGATGGTGGAGCAAAGTATTAGAGATATATTTGAAAGGTCTCAAAATACAATACATCATTTTATTGTCCAGCTGTTCTCCTATGATAAACAATCCTCTTATATTATTTCTGAGATGCAAACAATAAGATAAAACTTCCAGAGAAGAAAAATATTTTACTCCATGAAGATAAGCTGGAAGGAGTGACTTAACCTTAATGAGTTAACTGGAATTAGGATGGATTTTCCTGTACTTGATATGTGCAACTGAAAGAAAGTTTTAACCCAAAATTTGAAATTTTTATTTTTACACACACACACATACACAATAGATAGATAGATAGATAGATAGATAGATAGATAGATAGATAGATAGATAGATAGATATAGATATAGATATAGATGATATAGATATAGATATAGGTGTGTGTGTGTGTGTATGTGTGTGTGGTATTCAGCTTTGTTCGGGTATTTTCCCACTCCATTATAGTTATGCTTTTAAAGTTGTACCAACGTTTTGGCAGAATCTCATCTGCCATCATCAGGCTTCTGTATAGTGTATATATATACTGTATATATAGACTCAAAGAATTATAACCAGCCACATGAGCAAAGAGATCCAACAGATGATCATCCCAAGAGAAAAATCTTCCAGGTGCCCCAAACTATATGGCCTCCCAAAAATACACAAAGAAGGCATACCTCTCAGACCCATAGTCAGCTCCAGAGCAGCACCACTACAAAACCTAGCTGAACACTTAGCAAAGCAGCTACAGCCCCATGCTGAAGCAGCAGCTTCACATGTACAAAACTCATACCACTTCTTGGAAATGATCAAAGATCTACATGTGGAACAAGAAGATCTGCTTGTAAGTTTCGATGTGGTTTCACTATTCACTCAAGTCCCGATAAAAGAAACTCTTGAAATCATCAAAAATAAATACCAACCAGCTAAACACCTTGTGCAACTAGCAGAACACTGCTTAACCAACACAAATTTCATATACAAAGGACAAAGATATAAGCAAATTGAAGGAGCCCCTATGGGATCACCATTGTCACCCGTCATTGCAAACCTGTTCATGGAAGAATTTGAATCCAGAGCCCTAGTTAATGCCACCCACAAACCCAAACTATGGTTAAGATACATCGATGACACATTTGTGATTTGGCTCCATGGAAAAGAAAACCTAAACAATTTCCTAACACACCTAAACAGCACACACCCCAAATTCAAGTTCACCATGGAAAGGGAAACAAACAACTACCATTCCTAGATGTACTAATCTACAAAAAAACAGATGGCACACTAGGACACACCATATACCAGAAGAAAACACACACCAACCGCTACCACAACGCCCAATCCCATCACCACCTGGCACAGATAAACTCCGTGGCCAAAACACTAATGGCTAGAACCAAACGCCTGGCAGACAAGACACACATAAAGACTGAACTATGCACCCTGACTAAAGTACTGACAGCCAACGGTTTCCACAAAAGCAAAATCACCGGCTTGATCCACAAAAACACACTGAGACATAATGGAGACCTAGAAGATGAACAGACCTATGGAACAGCTGTCCTGCCCTACATAAGAGGTACTACAGACAAAATCAGTAAGATACTATACAGGCATCACATCAAGACTGCCTCCAAAGCAGACAGAAAAATAGCAGCCATCTTTAGAAACCCCAAAGATAAAATTGACCTGGAAAACCAAGGCATATATGAAGTCCCCCGTGCATCATGCCCTGCCACATACATTGGACAGACCAATAGAAGAATAAGTACCTGCCTGGATGAACACAAAAATGCAGTCAAAAAGCTGGAACACACTTCCTCACTAGTCCAACACATGAAAGCAACAGTCATAGCATCAACTTCAATGGCACCAAAACCCTAGCCACTACAGAAAACCTCAGCCACAGAATTATCAGAGAAGCCATAGAGATTGAAAACAGACCTGAAAGCATGAATGGAAGAGATGATTCCACTAGACTGTCAATTATTTGGAAGCCTGCACTCACAAACAAAAAAATCTCCACACCACAAGCCAGGCAAACACCTGGGCACAAACAGATCCTCCCGATACCTCCTGCTCAAACACACCCCAACCAGGCACCCAGATGAAACCTAGCTTCTTAATAAATGATAACAGTTCATTTACTCGGATCCAAGCCGCACTAAAAGCCTCCAATACAGGAACACAATGTTGCCAGCCAATCAAGACACAAAAAGCCACAAAACAGACAGAACATATTAGAAACACCAATCAAGCAGAACACAGCAAACTCCAAGACCAATAAACACAGACCAAGACTCCCAACCAATCAGGATGAAGAAAAAACCATTCTGGCACATCAGTAAGCTAGCCCCAAATTTAAAACTGAAATGGTTGTGAAAGTCTGACTCACAGACGAACACAATACAGAAGCCAGATGAT